TTGACAAATGTCGGCATTTTTTCATTATTTCATATATATATATATATATATATATATATATATATATATATATAAACAGAAATTGAAAATTAAACTAATAGAATTTTTACGACATTTGTCACTTGTCAGAATCACTTAATCAAGTATTTATTTTCGCTTTCGAGAAAGAATTTGCAGTTTGCCAGCCATGACGTCATTGCCGACCTCAACGAGGCAAAAAAAAAAAAAAAAAAAAAAAACAATATTTCGATTTTATTCAATTATTGGAAATATTCAAAGTGAACTGTGGCCATTTCAGCATTACATGGTGATACATGGATCGATTTCGTCGTCAAATATACCGATTCCAGACATCAGCAGTTTATGTAACTTGGAAAAACATATTTTATTCAAAACCATTTAAGCAAGCTTTGCTTTTATACAGCCAATATCCCACAGGACAAACATTGCAACTCTATTGCTACTTGGAAGGGAAAAGTAACACCTTTATAGCCAAGACTCGCCATTGAATATTGAGTTCGATCCTCACTAGGTGCCTCATTCCTTCGGCCTTGTGATATAACTACGCAACGATTAGTAAATTGCTAATTGTAACGAGTGGCAATCTGTTGTGGTGTAATGGTTAACAAGCTTGTCTCGTTAGATCAATTAAGACTGAATATTGAGTTCGATCCTCACTAGGTGCCTCATTCTTTCGGCCTTGTGATATAACTACGCAACGATTAGTAAATTGCTAATTGTAACGAGTGGCAATCTGTTGTGGTGTAATGGTTAACAAGCTTGTCTCGTTAGGTCAATTACGATTGAATATTGAGTTCGATCCTCACTAGGTGCCCATACTTATGGCGTCCACATGGTAGAAACAGCTCATTCTCCACGCAATTTTTCGGTAAGAAGCATATTCCATTTTAAAACGTTTTTCTAAGAACCGTTGCTTTGTAGAACTGAGTACAGCGTTAATGCTTTTAAGAATACTATAATCTTAACTTTATGAAGTCTAGGGTTAATCATTATCTATCCTCCATTTCCTTCCTTCAATTATGACTGACTAATGAGTTCGATCCTCACTAGGTGCCACATTCTTCCATCTTTGACATATAACTATGCAACGATTAGTAAATTGCTAAGTGTAACAAGTGGCAATACGATGTGGTGTAATGGTTAACAAGCTTGTCTCACCATATCAGTTACACCTGAATATTGAGTTCGATCCTCACTGGGTGCCCCATACTTTCGACTTTGTGCCGCATCGAAGCAACTCTTAGAAAATCAACGCCAATTCATTCAGTAATCCTCAAACTTGAGTGGTTGATATATTGGGGAAATTTATTAAAACAGATTCAATGGAAAACATATGGATTCCATAAAATTAATTCAGAATCTCAATTGGTCATATGATAAATATGTGTTCAAGTCCACAGAGACCCCCCCCCCGCTGTCGTACGAGACAGTATATCTTTCAATAAGAGGACTAGGGTTAATCAATGGCATCTGGGGTGTTGCCTTGAGCAACTGTTGTCCTTAATCCAATGTGTGCATGGAACGCCCACTTTAAATTCGGTTTTGAATGATATTCCGTACGAGTAGGCTTGTAAATAAATACTTCCTCCTGTGTAAAATGCTGTAAATATTATTAACCAATAAATATATATAGAGAGAGAAAGGCCCGCGCAAACAGAATGCGGAAGGACAAAATGTCGAACGTGTCGAATGGACAAAGTACCGAATGGAAAAAAAAAACAGTCGAACTGACAAAATAGTGAATGGAGATAATATCGAAGAGACAAAATTTCAAAAAGACAATGTTGAACAAAGAAAAAGCTTCATTCGATCTTGAATATCAAATGAGAACAATACGTAACCAACAGCAAAGTCTTGGAATGAACCAACAGTCAAGACATTGAATCGCTGATCATTAAACATTGTTTTCGATGATCAGTGCATGTAAAAAGAATGGAAGTATCAATGCTTTCATTTCAAATTTTACTCGGTGATCTCATTTCAGCAAAAAGATCGTGGAGCTGTCCACTTCGAAGATACAACGACAAACTCAAAAGAACACCATTTAATAAATAATAGACTTAAACGTGATTCATATTATGTCTCATTAATAAAAATGTTAACTCTTTACTGTAGTTTGAATGCAGATCTTTGTTTAAAAAATGAGCAATTATGTAAAAAGATTTTTTTTTCATCGGAGGATTTTGAATTATTTTAAAATTTAAAAATAATTATTTACTGACCGGATGCTTGCATACTAAGTAAAAGCCATTCTAGTGTCACCAGTTTTCTGGCTTTTCGTAATTTAGCCACTTCTATTCAGTACTTTGTCCATTCGACATTTTGTCTGTTCGCCATTTTGTATATTTGTCATTTTGTCTATCGACACTTTGTTTTTCGACACTTTGTCCATTCGACACTTTGTCTGTTCGCCATTTTGTATATTCGTCATTTTGTCTTTCGACACTTTGTCTTTCGACACTTCGACACTTTGTCCATTCGACACTTTGTCTGTTCGCCATTTTGTATATTCGTCATTTTGTCTTTCGACACTTTGTCCTTCGACACTTCGATACTTTGTCCATTCGACACTCTGTTTGTTCGACACTTTGTCTGTTCGCCATTTTGTATATTCGTCATTTTGTCTTTCGACACTCTGTCTATCGACACTCTGTCTGCACACGGTTCCATCACCATCGTAATCCAAAACTTTGAAGTCACCAGAAGAGAAAAGAAAGAAACCAAACGACAAGAGAGAAAGGCTCGACAAAATTAACTTCATCTTTCTTTCCAACCTCTCTTCTTTCCGTTATTTCATTCTACTTGGTTGGACTTTTGCCTTTCTTTCTTTCATAATAATGTTGGTGGCGCAACATTATTATGCAATGAATGCCATTGGCTCTTCTATGCAAGAAGGGGTCTACTTAACCCATTACCTGCCATTTGGGGATCTGTTAAAATTCAACTCACTACATGTTATTCCTTGTATTTACATTGAATTGCTTACATACATTGCATTTGCTGATGTATATTTTACAACACTTAGCCTTTAAAGTTTTTTATTATTAGCCGTAAGAAGACACTTTCTGTCGTAATTTTACATTTCACGAGTAGAAAAATAATGACCATTTTGAAAAGTACTTTTTTTTAATTATTTCTAATCACTATTATTTTTGATGTTTTATACACATATATATTTGATGTTCTATTTTCTATAAAAACGACAATGGTAACGACTGAAATTAAACAAGGAATAAACTCCGAAGACTGGGGCAAAAATGCGCATTAAAAAAAAATTGGTAGTTAACGCTGTCATCATAAAGAAAATGATCAGAAAAGAAGAAATTAAATTCTTGAATATGAGAAAAAGTCGCATAAGAAGACGACAACATTAGTTACGATCTTATTCCCTGCAACATTCAGAGCTACGAACTGACAAATTATCTAAATAAGGTGATTTTTTTTTTTAGCATTTCACCCCAAGCAAGACGGGTGGGTCACTAGCACTCAGGGGGTTATAGAGAGTAAATATGAGAGAAGAGATGGGGCATAGCGGGTGACTGAAGAAAAGACAAAAGATGAACGGGGATCAAGGCAGCAAAAGATGGCGATTGACATTGCATTTTTGGTTATTGTAGTTATGAGGGAAGCAAGTAAGAGGAAAGGAGTTCCACTGCCGGGAAGTGCGAGAAAAGAAACTGTTGGAGTAGAAGTGGCGTTTACGTTTAACTATTTCAACAGTAAATCGGTGGAACCTCGATGAAAATCTAGTAACATGTTTAAATCCATGTAGTCGAGACACCAGAGAAAAAAAGCTCGTCAGAGAAGTTACCATGAAAATATTTGTAGAAAAAAGACAGAGGAAGCCACATCACGTCTTTGAGAAAGTGCCTGAAGTTAAAACATTTTGTTTAATTTGATTTTCTTAAAACAGGACTTAATTACTTCAGTGAAAAATAGTCAATTTGATGAATTATTTTTTACTGTTATTAATATTACATAATTATTCAAATGTTTCTATCATAATTAACTCTATGTGGCTATATCTAATGTAGGAAATTCAAGTGGACAGCATAATGGCATTTCTTTTTAAAAAGTCTAAATTGTAATTTAGTTCTCTACCTCTCCGCCGCCAGTCGTAGACACCAGTTGCATGGTTAGCAGGCCTTTTATATGTGTCGTTTAGCTATAGACACAAATATAAACTATTAATATTTACCTATACTAAAACAAAGGAAGTTTAAGTGGGCATACTTACAAAAAAATCATACATAATATTAAATTTTTAAACATTTTACCCCAAGCAAGGCGGGAGTGCCACTAGCACGCAGTGGGGAGGGGCTTCAAAGAGTAAAAGTAAGAGAAAGGACTGAGTATAGCGACTCGATATTTAAAAGGCGTTTTTATATGGCGTTTTTATATGTTTTTAATGTTGGGGCCTTTTCGCTTCCTTTATCTGTTCATCTTGTATGCAGGCAGAGTGTTGAGTGGACAAAGTGCCGAATGGAAAAAGATACCAACTGACAAAATGACGAAAGGCCAGAAATATGTCTACAATAGAATACCTTTTAACTTAGCATGCAAATATCCTGCCGGTAAATAATTTATATTATTTACATTGTTCGGACTTTTGTCCTCATTTTCGTTGCCATATTCATAACGATTCGGCCGGTTTACTCTCCTGCCTTTTTCAGGTTATTGGAATTTCGAACTGAATCCTTTATTTCGTCCACGGGGGCAGATTGTTCTAGTTCCACGTGCCAGGCCTCTTCTAGATCTCTCAGTATCAGTTATCTCCCTTTAACACAGCTCTCCTTTGCTGTAGCCTGGTATTGAACTCGCAAATTCTGGGTCAAATCACTGGGTTCAACCAATGTTTTTTTTTTTTTTTTATCCACTGGACTTTGAGAAGATAACAAAATCATTTCATTTCTGGTTTTCTCCGGGCTAAGTTTTCTCAAAAGCTTATCCTCTGTAGGGTGACAAAGCCTTAATCTTTTATGGAGGGCATTATGCGGACCTGTTCGTTCCTGGCAAATCATTGGCCAGCCTTTCTTGAACTAATCCCAAATCAATTGCAAACACCGGCTTCCTTCTTTTACCCTTCTGAATGGTACCTAACTATGTAGATCAGTGGTTTTCAACCATTTTTTTTTTACCCCTGGGCCACTTTTAATTTTAATTCTTTTTGGTGGACCCCATAACCATTCGATGAAAAAAAAGATTATTTTATTTTTGACTAATACATAAGTTTAGGAATTGTATTATAGAAACAGAAAATGTATTTGCTTACTTTATATATAATCCTTATACAATTTTTATATTATTTTATTTTTCCTTTATATATATATATATATATATATATATATATATATAATCCTACATTTATACATCCTTCTTTGTTTTTATTCAACTTTTACAATCAAAATATCCAGTAGAGTAAAAGGGACGCTAAATTACATTACTTGATCACGTTTTCTGCTAGTTTTAGAGCTTTTTTTTTTCGAATTTTAGTATTTTAATATGGCGTAGATTGTTGTAAAAATTCTGAATCTCATTTGTGACAAACGCTCCGAAGTGAAATAGCTCGATGGACCAATAAAATATTACATTGAACCCCCAATCTTTTATGTTTATTTTTGTGTGGACCGCCAGTAATGTTATATATATATATATGTAACATATTATATATATATTCGTTCGTCTATCACTTTGTCGACGACGCATGCGCCGACGTCAAGTAAGAGTTCATATCCTTTACATTTGAGGCTTCATAATTTCCATTATGAAGGGCAGGGAAAAATGTAGATCCGAATTATGACGATTAAAACTTGATGAGATAATTGAATTTAGTAAACAAACTGAATTGTGAGGTTGGCGCCTACATATACTCGCTAATATATATATATATATATATATATATATATATATATATATATATAAAGAATGTTAAGCATAAAAATGTCTTAAAATAATTGTCGGACTTTGTCCATTTCATAATGTGTGACGTCATTTGTTTACATTTGGATACGCCATGAACAGATATGAATATACGTGAGAGATTCATAGAAGATTGAAGTTCAAATACAGTAAATTCGACCTTGCTAACCAAACGCTCCTCTGTGGCCAAATCGGTAAAGGCACGTCAAGCTAAATGACGGTTCCGTATAGGATACAGGTTCGAATCCTCTCGGAGGACGAATATTTTCTGTGAAAATTTCTCGGACATTCAAGACGGTAAATGTTGTTTAATACTGTTTATTATAAACAGAGCATTTACTTAAATATTTGTATCTATAAAAATAATGTATAAACATAAAAATGTCTTAATATATATATTCTGTTTATACGTTATTTTTATGGATACATTTAATTAAGTAAATGTTCTCTTTATAATAAACAGTATTAACGACATTTACTGGCCTGAATGTCGGACAAATTTTCATAGAAAATATGTGCCCTCTGATAGGAATTGAACCTGTATTCTACACGGAACCGTCATATAGCCTGACGTGCTGTACCATTTAGCCACAGAGAAAAGTGTCTGATTGACAAGGTTAAATTACTGTTTTTTAGACTACAAATTTACCACGATTACCCTTGAATGCTCATAACTGCTCGAAGCGTATCTTAACTTAAACAAATGACATCATATATAATTCTTTCTTTCTTTATTTCTTTATTTCTTTTAATCTGTCTATGTGAGTGTATTGATATCTATCTATCTATCTATCTATCTATCTATCTATCTATCTATCTATCTATCTATTTCAGTCTGTTCATATCTATCTATGTCTGTTTATAAATTTGACATGTTTCTATCTATCTATCTATCTATCTATCTATCTATCTCAGTCTGTTAGCTAGCTCCATGGATCCTTCCTTACTGGGTGCTCCATACTTTCAGCCTTGTGCCATATCTGAGGTGTGTTTTTTATGCGACCATCTTCTGCAACTCAGTCGCACATTGATTATTAGCGAATAAAGTATCAATGGCAATAAGAAGGTGATAGGATGAAACAACGAAGTTGTAAGAAAATGAAATGCATTTATTGGCTTTCAGATCGAATTTCAACCATCTTCAAAGGTATTAGATGTTATTTCCAGTTTTGGTCTCTCAGGAAACAAGTTTATCACTGGCTTATATCGATACTATTGTCTTCCATTCTAATACTTAAGATGGCCGGGCCGAGAGTGGCACGAGCGTTGCGGGTAGAAACGGTGGGATCATCTCCAAGATGGCAGATGGCTAGAGAAAGTCATCATTTGACTTCCGGTGTTTGTAGACAACCAACAACAACAATTGTTTGAAGTCGACGCTTCTTTTTTATTTTCTGTTAATCAAATATATCAGGGACGTCTACTCGTAATATAGGGACTTTGTTTTATATCTGCCTACATCCCTTCATATCTATCTATCTACCTATATCCGTCCGGTCCTATCTATCTACCTATCTACGTTCAGTCCTATCTATCTATCTATATATCTATCTATCTATCTATCTATCTATCTATCTATCTATCTATCTATCTATCAAGGTCAGTTCGTATCTATCTATCTATCTATCTATCTATCTATCTATCTATCTATCTATCAAGGTCAGTTCGTATCTATCTATCTATCTATCTATCTATCTATCTATCTATCGTTCCTTCCACAAGGCAGCAGCTCTGAGGAAGAATCAGTGTATATGACATGGCAGGGCCTATATATGTAGATATATAGATATCTATATATGTAGATATATATTTGCAAAAAATAGCTATGGTACTATCTATCTATCTATCTATTGTGGGAATATCCACTTTGGTTTTGATGTATATCGACATTTTATAGTAAATATTTATGGGCACCTGGAACATTTATCTCGCAAACAGTATTGGCGGACTCGCTGTGAGTCCGGGTCAAAAAGAAACAATGAAATAAAAACATACGACAATAAACAAAAAGAAATACATGTGTACATGATAGAAACGAAAGGAAAAGACAGCTTTAAGAATGTGATTTTGTGTGCGTGTGTGCGTGTGTGTGTGTCCAAAAGTCAACAGTGGACCAAAGAAGCGAACGCGCCCCAGCGGAAGGCTTCCTTGTCTACGTTCAACTACACATGAAAGCAAGAGTAAATAAGGAATAGAAAGAAAATACTTGCCTTTTTATAGACTTAAAGGTCGTCCCGTAATGGGCAATTTTGTCAAAGCCAAGTGAGGTAATCTATCTATCTATTTATCTATCTATCTATCTATCTATCTATCTCAAAGTGTTCTTATTTCTCTATTTAGTATTTTTTTAATCTCTATCTGTCTGTCTTACTCCCTCTCTTTCTCCTTTTCTCTCTAGTCAACGACGAAATTATTCATACACCCATCAATTTTAAATATTTATATCCATTTCTCAGAATCAAATGCCAGTATTATGCCAGTTTTTTTATATGTTAATAAGCACAAAAAAGGAATATAAAACTCAATTTTCAGAACAAGAGGTTAAATACAACAAATTTGGCAGGCAAATTATGCAAATTAGACGAAATTTTTCATATAGTAGAAAATATCGTTTTAAATTGATTGATTCGTGTAAGTATAAGTAATTTACATAATTATTTTATTTATTGGTGAAGCCTTCTAGACTATTTATTCAGTAGAATATTTGTGATAATTCCAGCAAAGAACATCACGTGGTACATAGAGTGTCACCATTGTTATTCTTATGTAAACAACATGATGTGGAAGCTTAGCGTTGACTTGAGGCATAGAATTATTTACTTCCACAAGTCAAGAAATAGTTACAGCGCTATTTCAAACCGGTTAGCTATCCCTAGATATATGGTAGAGTCCGTTATAAAGAAGTTTAAACAGTTTGACACGACAGAGAATTTGCCTGGGCGTGGTAGAAAACCCAAATTGTCACCGAGAACTGCACGAAAACTGTGTCGTGAGGTTAATATAAACTCAAGTGTTGTTATGAAAGACATCGCCAAAAGTTTGGATACACTGTGTATCTGTCTAAGTACTCGCTGAACACAACATCGTTTAAAGAGAAATGGGTTGTATGGAAACCGACCACGAGGAACCTCTCTTTACAAACCATGTCAAATTGTTGCTCGGTTTAATTTTGTCAAAACATCCTTGGAGAATAAAAATTAATTTTTGGAAAAAAGTACTATGGAGTGATAAAACAAATACTGAGCTTTTTGGACATAATGATGTACGGAAGATTTGACGCAAGGATGGAAAGACTTTCCTCCCAAATAACACAGCTGCAACATTAAAATATGGAGGCGACTAAATGGTGTTTTGGGATTGTTTTATCTCAAGGGGGACAGGACAATTAACTGCAATAAGAGAAATAACGAAATCTGCAGACTATATCAAAATTCTGGAAGAAAATCTACAACTATCAGCACAAAATCTTCATCTAGGCCGGTGATTCACTTACCAGGAAGATAATGATATGTCTCAATCAGTAACTAATCGGTTTCAGAAAAAGAAGATTACAGTTCTGCCATGTCCTTCAATGAGTTCTGAGTTGAATCCTATTGAAAATATATGGCAAGAATTGAATATTCGAATAAGTCGTCGGTTATCAAAAAACCTTCAAGACTTAGAACGTGTAACCATTGAAGAATGGAAGAAAATCATAGAAAAGACTTGTTCAAATCTCATCAAAAACTCTAGAAAACAATTGCAGCAAGTTATAAAGATGAGAGACAATGTTATCGACTATTAATATCGTGAAAATTGTTAAATTTTTCTATTTTCCATACTGTACGAATAATTTTGTCTTTTACTATGTTAGATATTTCGTCTTTAAAGAAAGAGTTATTGACTACCTGATATATATATATATATATATATATATATATATATATATATATATATATATATATATATATATATAGATAGATAGATAGATAGATAATGAATAGAATGAGGTAGACAGACAGATATCTAAATTTACAGATACGAAGAAACTGACACACACACACATATATACATATATATATATATATATATATACAGAGAGAGAGAGAGATTATGCAAAATGTTAACCGATTGACATATATATATATATATATATATATATATATATATATACATTTATATTTATACACGTTTCATTAAATAATATAGACAAGTGTTGTCTATTTATTTTATGTAAATTTTTTTCGTAACATCTGATAAGTTTAATAACATTATCGTTAAACGAAGAAAGAAATTCACAATATTGATCCATATTTTTTTAATATAATCTAAGCTTTCGGCTTACTTAAGCCATTATCAAAGATGTAAATTACAAACATATTAAACAATATACGGACACGACAGTGATCATAGTCTGTCATTGTTTACATAGTTGATCACTAAGCAACGATAAACACGCGCATATAAGACGCTAGAAGCGAAAATCGCACCGCATCTCATGACGTCACACATGACTGCACGAGAGTGAATTGTAGAATGAAGTAAGGAATGCCAATGGCTTCTGTTACCAATTATAGACATTTAAGAATATTTGTAGAGATGTCATAATTAATTTTATTTAGGTTGGGTTTCAACTGTTTGATGTATAATGCTTCAAGTATTTTTAGTTTTTGTCTATTGTTTTCATGTCGAAGTATAGTTGTATTTTCGACAAGTATTTTACGGAATTGTTTTAAATGCCTAAAAATGTTAGAGTTTTCATTCAAATGTAGTGTCAAGCGTCGCGAAAGCGAGTTTGTGGTGTGACCAACATAAATATTATTTAATTCGTTGGAGATACACTCTCCCAAAGGGCACTTGAATTTATAAACTATGTTGGTTTTTTGCAAATCGCTAACCGGGGGAGAAGAATCATTGCGAAGTATTAAGTTGGATATAATAGATTTAGTGTAGTATATGATTAATTTAATTTTTTTGCTAGGATCTGTAGTTGATATATTAGAATTTACTAATTTTTTTAGTATATTTTCATCTTGTTTATAATTAGTATGCATTTGATTACGATATAGGAGATTAATATATTTGAGATCAGTAGAATCAGTATTATGTACAATTTGCTTATTATTGAGATTTCTAAGAAAGCATCTTATTTGTTCATCAACTATATAGTTTGGAAAGCTATTATTAATAAGTGTCTGTTTTATATTCTTTAGTTCGCTGTAAAAAATCTGTTTTGTGGATGAATTAGTTTCTGCACGATGTATTAGATTCTTTATAATTGCTATTTTGTAGTAATATGGGCATTCGCTCTTGTAGTTAAGTGTACATGAATTCATGCTTGTAGGTTTTTTGTATGGCGAAATAGTAAATTTGTTATTATTTGAACCGTTTTTGAAGTTGAATTATTTCATCTGTATTTTTAACTAACATAAGAATATCATCAACGTATCTTAGGTAGATTGATGTTTTTTTAAAATCTGTAAGTAACTTATTTTCGAGGTTTGACATGTAGAAATTGCTAAATGTGGGGCCCAATGCTGAACCCATGGAGACACCATCACGTTGTATATATATATTGTTATTATGATCGAAGACACACGCATACGCACACAGATGCATAATATATATATATATATATATATATATATATATATATATATAGACAGAGAGAGGGAGACATAGAGAGAGACAGAGAGAAAGTTTTATGAACTGCCTGCGCTAGATAAATAATCAACACATAGAGATATCTAGATTTAAAGATATGAAGAAACTGATACACACACACACACACACACACACACACACACACACATATATATATATATATAGAGAGAGAGAGAGAGAGAAAGATAGATAGATAGATTTTTGTGCAATCTGTTAACCGATTGAAATATATACCGATATATATATATATATATATATATATATATATATATATATATATATATATATAAGACGGAAACGAAGAGAATCTCGCTTCTTTCCTGCCATTAAGTGCTAACACATTTCACCAAAGAGCCTGGCTTTTACGCCGTGATTTTATCTTCATTTCTTTATCACCCACATCGACATTTCGGACTCCTGGAATCATTTCTTGTAAAGCTTATCTATCAAGTGGGATTTTCGCTAAGTGCTTGCTAAAACGCCTCTTCTTTTGCTGAGATGTAGTCGAGTGGGGGTGGGGGGGAATCAGTGAAATTCAGAGAAACAGTCACAGGAGTTGGCAGGTGATGTGAAAATTAGGTTAATTTTTTTTTTTGTCATTTTTGCAAATAATTTGATGTTCCGCGCGTGGAATCTGTCGATGGATTTAAACCAACATGACTGTTGACATCTTAAAATGTCTTAGGGGAGTGTCAGGGAACTAATGATTTCAAGAATCTTCGCGTTTGATACGACCCCAACTCTCAGATATCACAAGACTGCAGTAATGGAGCACTTGAATGAAGTGATAATCCATATTTAAGGCAAAGGTTTGTCTTGTCAGGTTTAAGATTGTTTCATTGATTTGTTTTAGCATCTTATTAACCTTTTAATGGTCGTTGAGAGACAGAAAATATTTTGAAATTGTATGAATTTTTTGGCGATAATAAAGATTTACTGATACAAGTCCTACTAATTAATCCATAGCTGGGGGGAGAACATGTGGATTCATACCTTTCGCAAAGGTATTTGCGCGTAAGTGAATATAAAGAACACGATTGAAATTGGAACTCGGCTCTCCGATTTCCAATTCAGAACCATTAACTACAAATCCAAGCTTACAGTACCAGGTATTCTGAAATGGTCACCCATTTAGGTACAGACCAAGTTCGACGTTGCTTAACTTCGGTGATAGTATGGGGAGTGGTGTTTCTAACATGATATAGCCGTAAGTTCATTCTCCCACTTGTACATCGAAGCTTACAGCACCTGGTATCCCCAAGTGTCCACCCATCTGGGTTATGACGACGCTCGACGTTGCTTAACTTCGGTGATCCTACAGGAACCGGTGTTTCTAACATGATATAGCCTTAAGTTCATTCTACCACCCGTACATCGAAGCTTACAGCACCTGGTATTCCCAAGTGTCCACCCATCTAGGCACTGACGAGGTTCGACGTTGCTTAACTTCGGTGATCGTACGTCAATAGTTTCAACGTTATATGGACGCAAATTTTAGGGTTAAGAGAAATTAAATTCTGTGTGATTTTCACAACGTTTCTGCCTTGTCGTCTAGCCTTCTTCAGGTACCTGTTGATCCGAGTAATCGTTTCGATGAGAACTGTTTATTTAATCTACAGTTGTAAATTCTTCTTGTTCGGCTGGAAATGTCTGGAGATATCTGATCTTGTTTGTGACTAGATTGGATAGTAAAGAACTATTTTCGTTTTTTGGTGAGCAACCTAGGGTATTCAGGTGTCTATCACGCCAACCATCACAGCGTCCTGCATCAAAGTCGGAAGATCATTAGTAAGGCATCTTGTTATAGCTGGTCAATGTAAGTAATTATTGGATGACCAGCACGTTTTGCTCCATGTCTAGGTGTTCAGAGCAGTAGATCACTCGCCAATTCTTGTTTCGCTCGCCAGCGTATTCCGCGTTCGCGTAAGATTGTAAAAATATCAGGGATGAGTCGTTCATAGAGCTGTGATTTAGTTGGATGATGTCTCCAAGAGATGTTTAAAGCTCTCAGCATCCGTGTATAGGCCCCATTAAGTTTAGATTCTAGGGTTTTAGTTAATGTCCAAGCGATGGGACCATACATTAACATCGGCTCTACAGTGACTCAAAAGAATCTCCGCTTGAGGTTGTCTGCTAGATCAAATTTCCCTATTACATCCATTTTATACAAGGCGTCCCGGGCTTTAGCTATGCGAATTCTCACATCCTTTTCAGTAGAATTTATCTCTCTTCCTAGGTAAGTAAAAGTTTCGATATATTTTATTGATTCACCTGAGACAGTTTGTTTTGAGGATTGCCGGTTGAAGCCTATGAATTCAGTCGAGATATGAACACTTGTTTAATAATATTAATGAAAATGCTTGTAAAATCTACAATAGCCTAGAAGCATAAAGAAAATCACCTGAAGATGAGGAACTAATTCTGTTTTTACACCATTTCCAATGCTTTTTATATCTGGCTTGAAAGAAGCGAACAAAATTAAAAAAATACAAAATAAAAAAAAAAACAATATATCAAATGAACGTTTTCAGGGGGAGTACATTATTTAGAACTCGATCTCCAACAAATATTAAGTATAGCTCTCAGCATCCTACTGTAGTCCAATCAAGCTTAGATTCTAGGGTTTTATTTAATATTGAAGCAGTGGCCCCAAACATTAAAACCCCCTTTATATTGGCGCGAAAGGAGCTCTCTTTGAAGTTGTCTGGTAGAAAATATTTCCAGATTACATCCATTTCATCCAATACGGTCCAAGCTTTAGCTATGCGAATTTTCAAATTCCTTTTAGAAGAATTTATTTCGCTTCCTAGGTATGTATAAGATTCGACAGATTTCATTGATTCACTTGAGACAGAGGCTTTGCTGGTTGAAGACTATAGAATTCAGTTTTAGGATTCAACAGCGTTAGCAGTATTTTCTAGGGAAGATTTTTGCAGTGATAGCGAAGTCATCTGCATAAACAATATCCGGCGCACCGGTTGAGAAACGCTACCCTAGATCCTTCTCTCTTGGGACAATCCGAAGTATAGAACAAGAACTACAGTCTAGATCCAGGTCGCTTCAATTTCTAGCTTTCCTCATTCATTTTTGAAACGCTGTAGACGAGATTGGGGACAATATGGAGAGACAGCTGATGGCAATCCTGTAAGAGGATTTTGCAGGTATGTTTTTAAGCCGAAGGGATGCTGGGATAAGTGCGTGATATTAAGAACAATATGATGAGGCAGCTGATGACAATCCCTAAAGAGGATTTTGCAGATATATTTGTGAAAGTAGGGGGGATGTCGGAATGAATTAGTAAGATTCCAAGTGGAGTAATTTTAAATGGACTAAGACGCCATTGCCCTAAGTAGGCTATTATATCACTAACATTAAATCGCTTCATACCATCCGGACAGATAGCTTATCACGTTACCGTTCCTAAAGTCACAAGGTTTCCTCTATGGCATCAGGATAGTGATTTTGTTGTCATAATTACGTGAACCAAGCAACTTTCCAAAAGAGGAAGTAGGGTGCTGAATTTCAGGTAAGGCGATAAAGTCACTAAGACGCACGGGGTTACTGAGAATATAAGAAACTAGGAGAAAGTTAAGAGACAAAACAGATTTCAAGGCGATAGATGACGATGGGTTTTGCATTTGAATTTTGGAAGATCGTATTTGGCAGGAAAATAAAAAGACGGAGAGGTCTATTAACGCAGAACTTACACTTGCATTTAGTATTTTTGTTGTAACCTAGGGAAAGGTTCACTATTTACATTGTTCGGACTATCATCCTCATCTTTGTTGTCATATTTATTACAACGTTTCGGCTGTTGTACGCTCCGGCCTTCTTCAGGTGGTTGGAATGTTGAACTGAACCCTTTATTTCGCTCGCTGTTCTAGTTCCATGTGCCATGTCTAATGGATGTCAGCACTTATCTCCTCTTAATTTCCCCCTCCAAGTTATCCACCACCTTAACAATGTAAATAATATGCCTAATACCTCATCTCAGAAATATAGACAGATACTAGGGAAGGTTACTGAATAGAATAATGAAACGGAGGTTGGTAATGAACGATAATACTTAGGACAAGAACAACACATATAAGATTCGCGTAGAAGAAGTAGTCCACTGCTAGAAGTGAGTCAAGTGAATTCCACAATGACTCTCCAACTACAGTATATCTACCAACCTCCCCACGCGTTCAGATGTGGCACAAAGAATAGGCTTGGCCAAAAATTCCCTGTAGACCCGTATAAAAAGGGGTCAGGAACCTGTTTTCCTAGACCAGAATTAACCCTTCGGCATAGCCTCGTCTGGGGATCCTCTCTGCCCGGAGGCAGAGAGTTTGACCAGCACAACTGGAAACGAATCTTCAATTGCAGACCAACATACAGTATTTACTACTGTATTTATGTGAATGGGAACATATCCAGTTTTTTTAATCGGTTCACCCCAAGTAAGGCGATAATGCCGTTAAGACGCAAGGAGATACTGGGAGTGAAAGAGAATGAAAAGGCTTTAGAGGGAACCGGAAATCCAATCCTAAAACGGAAACGAGTGATAAACATTTACTCCTGTTTAAAAGACCGGAGAACAGTGTAAACCTGACGATGGATGAACCTATCTACGATTATTTTCAGCAGTTAAATGATGAGACCTCTCTACCAATCTAGTACTGCGCTTAAATTCGTGAAATTGAGGTACTAAAGAGGAAAGAACAATTACCATGAAAGTATTTATAAGAAAGTCACATGAAAGCCACGTTATGATGGTAGGAGTGAATTAATCCGATATGCCAGGTTAGGACCGATGACATTGGAGATTCATCTTTGGATTATGTCAAGAATTCGTAGATACAGAGTGGAAGCAACAGATCGGGCGTGGCAGCAATGTTCGGCGCATGGGAAAATGGTTGACATATCAATATGTCGAGAACATTGAAAATAGCAGTGAATCAACTTACCGACCAAGCAGACCTTGCAGGTTTTTTTAATCGTTCCACGCCAAACAAAGTGATAATGGCACTAAGTGGGCACAGGAAGTGAAAGTGAAAGTGAAAGCGAATGAGAACATTGAAAATGCGGAGGTTCGTGGAAAGAACAAAAAACGGAACAGGATTCACGAAGACGATGGCGATTGATGTTGCATTTAAATTTTTGAAGATCGTAGTTGGCAGGGAAGCAAGAAATTGGAAAAGAGTTGGACAGGCGGGAAATGCGAAAAACTTTCAGAGTAGATGTGGTGGCTGCATCTAGCTAGTTTAAGATTAAAACGGTGAGACCTAGTTGTCAACCTTGCGTCTTAGTGGCTTTATTGCCCTGGGTGGGGGTGAAAAGTAAAAAAAAACAGTGAATAGATATATTTATTTTCCTATTTATAAACTGTTTTAAGAAGAAAAAAAAACGTGGAAATTTCAATCAGGGTTGAGGATAATTGATTGGTCGATGCGTGACGGATGCTTCCTGTACGGAAACGGTTAAGTTTTATCATTAACATTTTGACGGGTGAGTCTATGGTCGATAAATTGTATCGATAAAGCGGTTAATCAAAGCCTTTTTTTTTTCGTGTTTTACATCGATTTGATGAGGAAATATTTTTAATTTTCTTTCAGCCTTTGTTTGACTCTGGCTAGAAATCCACATCGTAGAAGAGAAACTCAGAATGTTATTATTGATTTACATTTCGACCGGGTCCTAAGAGCAGGTAGTTCGTAGGGGCGCCGGGAACTTATGAGCATGAAGTAATCTATAGTAAGCTTCAATTTAAGGATTAGGGATAGAAAAATGAGAAAGAAAGATGAATAGATAGATAGATAGATAGATAGATAGAGAGAGAGAGAGAGAGAGAGAGAGAAAGAGAAAGTGATATATATATATATATATATATATATATATATATATACAGAGAGAGAGCAAGAGAGAGTGAAAATAAAAATCTTCTAATAAACAAACAACCACCCACTTGTTGGAAATATATCGCATGATAAAAGTTTGAGCTTAAGGATTAGGCGTGGAAAAGAGAGATAGGCATAGATAGATAGATAGATAGATAGATAGATAGATAGATAGATAGATTAGGGATAGAAAGTAAGAGAGAGAGAGAGCTTGAGTTTAAGGATTAGGGGTAGAAAAGAGATATAGATAGATAGATAGATAGATAGATAGATAGAGATAGAGAGAGAGAGAGAGAGATTAGGGATAGAAAGTAAGAAAGAAAGAGCGAGAG